AAACTCGGGTCTTCAACTCGGGCTTTCAATTGAAGGGCCGAGTTGTAGACACGAGTTTGTAGCAGCCATGTCAGACAAGATATGAATGTATTTTTGGGCTCAAATGAAAGAGCGGGTCGAGAAATGACGTGCTAGAGCCTCTAAACATGACAAATGCCTCTAAAGATGATAACTGTTTTCAATTGAAAAGCAGAGTTGTGACATCATTGTCTAGGAGGACAATGGGGTCTAGGAGTATGTATAGAACATTGGGGTCTAGCAGTCTTCCCTGGTTCGNACATAGAATTATACTGTTTGCATTCTATTGCAGAAAATTGTTATATTCATACATTCAATGTTTTTACTCATTTACTATACTGAAAAATTCTTGAATCAAGTACTGTTTCTAACGTAATTTGATTATTCACTCGGCGTCCATATGAAATCTCATCATGACTAATATAATTGGTGCAGCTATTTTGAAAATACCTCGATCATTTTGGTCATTCGTGGCTTGAATATGCAATTCAGAATGAGTGATGCGAAGGAAACAATGCAACTAATGCTATTTCATACCTCACTTACGCTCTCTTTAAAAAGTGGACAAGTATACTTTACGTGAGAAATTCACAACCCTGAAAATACCATATTAAAGGGAAGCAGTAAATTGAATAGTCATATATCTGCTATAGCAAAATGGGTAAATTCAGATGGGTCCAAATATGTCGTGGTTAATTTAGATCAGATTAGTACATTAGAGTACAAGGGCACAAATTTCGTGTCTACAACTCAGGCCTCGCCTTCGGCTCGGCCTGTAAACTACACATTCGTTGAAAACGAAATTTATTACCCAGTGCTCTATTAGTATATTTCATCACTAGGCCGAAAAAAACTTTTCTGGCGAATATGAGTTTGCAGTATGAATTCTGCAATCGGCCGGAATGACAAAAAAAATTGTATGTCAAGTCGTGTAGACTTATTGCACGGCGCGACATAAATCAATATTAAATCCCTGGATTGAGATGTTCATAGATCACCGTCAACACTGATATCTTTTTTATTGTTTGAACGAATGCGAATGTTCTCCATTAGAGAATTTCCATTTCAAATCTATGTAGATTTCTTTACCCATGATTCATCAATATTAGTTATCTGTGAATATACTTGATACTATCAAGTTACTCCTGTGGTANAGATGGTTTTAAACCAGGGGAGACTCCTAGACCCCAATGTTCTATACATATTCCTAAACTCCATTGTCCTCCTAGACAATGTTGTCACATAACTCTGCTTTTCAATTGAAAACAGACACCATCTTTAAAGACATTTGTCATGTTTAGNCGCTTCGAGTCTGATGAGACTATATGGCGATTGATCAAGACTTTAAAAATGGTTAGATCTCACCATTCTACCCGGCCAGGAATCGAACCTGGAACCTATCCGTTGTGAGGCAACGGCCTTAACCACTACGCCAGGCCACCGGGCTCCCGCTAGAACTGTTTAAAAAATTTTATGTCGAAATGGCATTTGGCCGACTTTTGTAGGTAATGTAGGGAATCTGGGTCGGTAATACAGAAAATTTGTGGTCGGTAATGGTGNTTCTCGACCCGCTCTTTCATTTGAGCCCAAAAAAACGTTCATATCATGTCTGACATCTCTGCCACAAACTCTGGTCTACAACTCTGGTTTCAATTGAAAACCAGAGTTGAAGACCAGAGTTTGTAGCAGAGATGTCAGACCAGATATGAATGTTTTTTGGGCTCAAATGAAAGAGCGGGTCGCGGGTGGGAGCCTCGCTCTCCAGCTTGGTGAGCGGAACGAGCAAGGGGGGACGCCCCCAAGTATCTGAATAAATAGACTATTCGAATCTGATGAATTGGATTTAATTGACTCGTAATGGAATTTTTATTCAAATAAATTCGGTTTTTATTCGCTTTTTTATTCAGATGGAGTGAATAGGTACTTTATTTGAAAATAAATGACTATTCACTTGATTTTATTAGTAAATGAAACGATTATTCATTTGATGCGAATAAAAATATGAATAAAATCCAAATTTAAGTTTGGAAAAAATCTTCATTCACTCTTATTCAAACACAAGTTTTTTCTCGCAAATGAATAGTTTTTGAGTATAAACAATTGCAATAAAAAGGGCACAAATTAAAATTAACAATGCAATATTGAAAATTTTTTTCAGGTCATGGCTTCACGGGATTTCGAAGGAATTTATAAAAAGCCAGCAGGGTAGAAGCCTATTCGGCAGAAGCCATGTGGCCGTTACTTTGTGCGTTATTAGTATTTTGCTTCTTTTTCTCTCTACCAAGTTCATTGGTAATAAGCTTCCGAATGGAAGCAATTCCAATTTCAAAAATGAAAAATCAGTGCTGCTCACTTACTTCCAGGTTGGAGTCCGATTGGTAAAGGTAGTTGGAATTGACTGTTTTTTAAGTCACACCAATAAATTTTCGAACTAATAACTGACACACATACATACTTCCACCCATATTGATCATATTTACAAATTATCGAACCAAAGTCTCTAATCATTTTACAATCATGAGGGAAACAGGTGGCTCACAATGAATCAAAATAAATCATGAACAACTTCAGACTTATTACAAATCATAAAACGTCCTTATTAAAAACCATAGAAATTTTCACTCGACGATCCCAAATCGAAATGAGAGTGGAGTATCCCCCGTTACAATATCTATATGATACACAACGTTGACTAGCGACCACACTTTTAATAATGAGAATTGGTTTATATTACCGACACATCGACCCATGTCTCCGTCCCAGCTATGACATTCCATCAAATATTACATAATAGAAAATATAAAAAATCATAAATTTATGTTATATGACTGTTGAAGTCTTACGGAGACAAAAGTCATTGATAACACGACAATGTGTGATTTAAAAAAAAAAGATTTTTGGATGAATCGCTCTACGTCAGGATGTACTGAATCGATTGACAAAATTTTATACACAAGTGTGGGTTAATAATGCGAATCAGTAGCCAAAATCTCAGATGTTCACTTCCAGTTTTACGTGTATTATGGACACCACATGAACTTTTGAATGAAAAAAAAAACAGAAAAACGCTGATATCTCGGAAACTTTGTACGGGCGGGTATGCATATTTTGATTGATCTTGATAGAAGGTATCATGACGAATATTTTGAAGAAAAAAAAGTGTNCAAAGTCTCTAATCATTTTACAATCATGAGGGAAACAGGTGGCTCACAATGAATCAAAATAAATCATGAACAACTTCAGACTTATTACAAATCATAAAACGTCCTTATTAAAAACCATAGAAATTTTCACTCGACGATCCCAAATCGAAATGAGAGTGGAGTATCCCCCGTTACAATATCTATATGATACACAACGTTGACTAGCGACCACACTTTTAATAATGAGAATTGGTTTATATTACCGACACATCGACCCATGTCTCCGTCCCAGCTATGACATTCCATCAAATATTACATAATAGAAAATATAAAAAATCATAAATTTATGTTATATGACTGTTGAAGTCTTACGGAGACAAAAGTCATTGATAACACGACAATGTGTGATTTAAAAAAAAAAGATTTTTGGATGAATCGCTCTACGTCAGGATGTACTGAATCGATTGACAAAATTTTATACACAAGTGTGGGTTAATAATGCGAATCAGTAGCCAAAATCTCAGATGTTCACTTCCAGTTTTACGTGTATTATGGACACCACATGAACTTTTGAATGAAAAAAAAAACAGAAAAACGCTGATATCTCGGAAACTTTGTACGGGCGGGTATGCATATTTTGATTGATCTTGATAGAAGGTATCATGACGAATATTTTGAAGAAAAAAAAGTGTATTGGCCCAGTAGTTTAGAAGTTATTGAGTATAACAGTTTTTCAGAAAAAGTTGAATATCTCCTAAACTACTCATCCGATTCTACTCATTTATAATCCCAGCCAATGGCGCCATCAGAGCTACAATCCTACAAGATTTCAACTTCCTATCTTGATCTTTCAGACAGTTATCGCGCGTACACCGATTTTCTCATCAAAAAGAAAAATGCCAATTATTAGCAAACCATCGCTAGATATGTAGCAATATTATGATTTGATTCAATAGATATTATCACAAGAAATATTTTTACGTAAAAGAAATTCAATTCGGTCACATACTTTTTGAGATATTGAGAAAAACAGATTTTTAAAAAATTGCTGTATCTCGAAAACTACTGCACCGATTGAGCTGAAACTGCGCCGCAAAATGCTCCAAAGTAATACCAATTAAATGACAAAATTTCTGATTTCTAGCTTGTTTTTATGTAATTTATAAAAATTGGAAGATCCCAAAAATCATCGGTCACAATGCTCCCATTCGGAAGCAAAAAACAATTTAAACTTCAATTGTCCCGTGAATGGGGATAAAAATCAGAAAAATCTCTTCATTTCTGAATAATGAATTTTAAGATTCCAATTAAAATAGACTGTCATTTAGACAAAAAAAAGGAATAAAACCCCATGAAATTTATTAAATAGAAAGTTCTCAATGTTCAAAAAATCCAAACATCCATAAAAGAAAATTAATGCCCTCAGTACTTGATCATTTTCCCGTATGTTTGCCATATTTTTGGGACATAAATTATTGTCACATAGTGAAACGAGCTTGCGTGGGTGTCGATATCCCGTCGATATATTTTCCCAGTCAACTGAAATCATAAAACGCTTCTCCACTCGATGATTTCCACTCGCTGTCCCACAAAACCATTCGCATAATTATATGCCTGTTAACGAATGAACTATCACCACAGCCAAGTAGACACTCGCGTGATTTATGCGATGTTCTCTTATTTGAGAGAGGTATGGAGCATATATACTTACGGGTGTGCACACGCTCGTCGCCCTGATAAGTGTCTCCGATAATATGCTAATAATGATTTGTGGGCGACACACAACTTCCGCGTTAATCCAATTAAATGACTAAAGCCGATTTTCTACGAATGATTTTATGATTCCGGAATTTCCAGTGGAAAATAGAAATTGAAAGAAGGGGGAACGAGCGGAAATTATTTTTATCCTGATATCTCTTAAGAATAATAAGAGAATTAATATTCCAACCGCCAGTGCGAACATTCAAATTCCTCCTATTCCCTCCAGACCATTTCGTGGTTTTCAGAAATTTTAACAAACAAAAATAAAATCAGCTATAAATTTCCATTAATTTTCCAGCGCTTCAAGTGGTACATCCACTGCTCATTAGTGGAATTTATTAAATTTTCATCTACAGAAAACAAAATAATAGTATATTTGAGGGCGAGAGCCGTGGGGTTTTTTGCTCGCGTGCAGTTGGCGCCCGAGCCAGAGGCGAGGACTGGCCAACCACGCGAGTAAAAATCCCCGTGGCACTAGCCGTGAGCGATGTTTTTCCGTAGTGATTTTCACTTTTACGAGTTTGAGAAGGGCCAATACCAATCTCCGAACGAGGAAAAGTGAAGATCAGTACGAAAAAACCATTATCATCCAACTAACTGATTAACTGATTAAAGATAATACCATATCCTAATTCAAGGATAACAAAACAACATGCACAAGGGAATAAAAACTTGTGAATTTGATGGCTCGAGGCCAGTTACTCGACCTCATTTTTGACACCTTCTTTAACTCTATATTCGTCTGATACCTTCAGTATCAGAATGTTCTACAATAAATTTGAGGAATGCCAAAATACAACCAGTGTTTAGCTTAAGAATAACGCCGTTTTTGCTCTATACGGACAACAGTATTCTCAAGGGTCTAAAAAGATGGCAAATTTCCTCAAAAAGAAAAGAAAACATCATGAATTTTTTCATTAAAAAATGCGTTTCAACTATTTTGTTCAATCATTAAATCTTTTTCATCACGCTGTGCGAAAAAGTAACTTTTTAGGCACGCTTCGCGTGCCTAAAACAACCCTTTTCCACACATTGTGATGAAAAATATCGTTCGATACTCGTGGGAAAAGTATTTTTTGGCTCGTGGGATTATATCACTCGCTTTCGGCTCGTGCTATAAACCTCCCACGAGCCAAAAAACTCTTTTCCGCACTATTATATTGGTTTGATAATCGAAGATGAAAATCGAATAAAAAAAGAACATCAATTTTTTCAATAAAAAATTCGTCTCAACAATTTTGTTCAATCATGAAATCATTTTGTCTCACCACTTTTTCATGTGAATTTTAATTTAAGATCCATCGTGATATAACACAGGTTTTCATACGCATTCTCCTTTTTTCTGGACATAAAAAAATTGTATCACTTTACGAGTAAAGGTAACTGAATAAATGAGCATATTTGGAAGAATACGTTATTTATCGATGAAGTAGTTACACTCTTGACAGGTACAAATGTTATTTGTTCAGTATAAAAGATTGTTATTGTCACTGAGGCACTTGACCGGGTATGTTTTGTACGAATGTGATGCCATTGGTCGCTGCTGGGGCTGTGAAGGGTCGAGGGGGCTTTTGTCGGTGCATCTGCTGGGTCATCAGGGCCAGGGGGTCCAGCGTCACCAGGGCCACTTGGTCGTTGCTTCCGCTCACGTGGAAGGGCTCTACGTTCTCTACTTCCAGGTGATTCAACACGTCTTCTGATCGACTCGTCGGTTGATCGGGGGGCATCGGGGCTGTTTTGTTCTTTGGTAGAAATTTTTTCAGTTTTTTCGTGGATTTTTCAACGTCTGGAAGAGGAAGTTGTGTCACTGATTGAGGGTAGTTTATATAAGTGCATTTTTTATTATTTTTCCGATGGAAAAAGATAAAGTGAGAAATCAATGATGATTTCAGTTCTTAGATTTATTGGGAAAGTTGAAGATTACGTTCAACTTTCTAATAGATTGCAAATTCAGATGAATTATTGTTTGAGTTTCCGTTAAATAATTAAAAAAATGAATTAAAAAATTCAGGAAATTTTTCGTTTGTTGAAAATTTTAAGTATTTTTACTTGAAATTTTGAAGTAATTCAATAAAAAAAAAGAAATGTCAATGTTAAATTTTCATTCCAATAAACTGAGTATTTAGATGAATAATTGCTTAAATTTCCAACATTTTCAGTAACTTTCATTATCACATGAATTTGAAAATTGAGATTCCATTGAAAAATCAAGAAAATGAATATAAAAATTCTGTAAATTTTTCGTTTGTTGAAAACTTTAAATATTTTTACATGAAATTTTCAAGTAATTCAATAAAAAAACGAAATGGCAATGATAGCTTGAATTTTCCTACTCATTGTGAAAATTAATCTTTCAATTTAATAAATTTTCAATAGATTGAGTATTCAGATGAATAATGGCCTGAATTTCTACCATTTTCAATCATTTTCATTATCACATGTCTTTAAAAACTGAAATTCCATCGATTAAATAATCAAGAAAATAAATTCGAAATTTCTTAAAGTAATTTCTGAATTTTTTGAAAACCTATTTCGCTGCAAGAACTTTTCAACCCAAAACATGTTCTTCCGCCACTCCAATAGAATAATTGAGTATACTACTTACGATTACTATGATTTACTGAGCTACTCTGGAGGTTCCCCACAAGCTGGCCGATGGGCTTGAACGGATTTGATCGGATTGAAGCTCTCGATGGGGTCATTGAGATGATGGAGGGCCGGGGGTGATTATTTACAGGTGGAGGAGTTTGAGACATCTTCACACGATCATCGAGGACGGAATAGTTTTTCGATATCGTATCCAATAGCCATCTAAAAATAAACAGTATCCGTTGTAGAGTTCCATTAATGTCAGGAGCACAACTCAACACTAAAGTAACATAACGAGATGAGAAAAATTTGAAATAAATATTATTCCAGCCTAATTAATAAATTTTATCATCTATGTAGAATAAATAGTTATGAAATTTTCCCCATGGAGCAAATGGATGGAATTGAATCTTTTTTTTTCAAATGTAATTAAAATTTAATTAAAATTTAACTCATCGATTAGTTTTTTTAATTTTCTAATTTTTTCGAAAATCGGTTGTCCCACGATAACTAAAAAAATGTTCTGAATTGATTGAATGATGGCTTCAAAAATTTGTTCGGATGTCCTTTTGACCGAGTTCGAAGATCAAGGCGATAGCAATAAACGTTATTTTGATTTATTTGAAAATTTGTGAAAAATTTTGCATTTTTGGAAAATTAGAATTCCGGGGATATTTTTGAATATCATGCTTCAAATGAATTCAATCATAGCTTAAAATGTTTGTTTTAATGCCATTAAATCGAAGTTAAAAGATGATTACGATAGTTAGGGTAAACTGTCCAGTAGATGGACGCCTAAGAAAACCGCCCAGTAGATGGACGTTTGTTTTTTAGCAATTGAAAAAAAAAATTGATCGAAAAAAAATCGTCACTCAGGGGTTAAGAATCACAACAGTTAGTGAAAATTTAAAGGAACAATTCACATTTCAGTATTTTTTGAGTAATTTCCTATCCAAAAGTAGCTCGTCCATCTATAGGGCAGTGTCCATCTACTGGGTAGCTTACCCTACATTGGTTGATTTGAATTTTATGATTGTTGAAAATTTCGAATTTTTCATGAATGTCCCTGAAAGTGAGCTTTCTGATGGTTTCTTCAATTGTGATGTTTCAAATGCATTCAAGTATGTGTAAATAAAATTTTTGTATCAACATTTTATCGAAGGGCTGAGGGGAGAGATAGAACCGTAAAAAAGACCATCGGTTGTACAGAAGAAAGGGATAATAAGAATAATGATGATGATAACATTCAACTAAGTTGACAATCTGACAAAATTAGTTGGAAAGAAATCTTATTCAATTTAATAAAATGAAATAAACAATGAATTACACATGATAGAAGGAAATGCTGTGAAAAATAGCCATTCGGAAGCTATTGCTAATTTATTAGAAAAAATAACTGTACTATATGCAATACATTTTTTTATAGATAATTCAAGAATGTGAATTCTCACTTGTAACCATTTGCAATTCCCATTGTATAACTGAGCTTGGGGTCCTCTGGAACAGTGCACGTACATATTTCCACCCTCGTGGGGCACTTCATAGCATTGGCAGCATGCTCCACGTCCAAATTCTCAACGACATCGAGTTCGTCAACAGCCCCAGGTACGTCCTGTTTATTCGCCAGTCTGAAAATCCATTTCCATTCCATAAACTCACCTGAGGTACTAATAATTATGGTGTGAGGAACTGACGAAGCCGAAAACAAGTGCTTTTCCCTCTTTCAAAATTTACAATAATCGTCAGAAAAGCATTCTGTTGACTCACACGACATTCACTTCTCGAATTGAATTTGTGCACATGAAAAAAAATATTCGAATGACTTTGCGATGCTACCACTCAGTGCAGGTGCTCAAAACAAAACAAAAATCAACATTCAAAACATTATGGAAAATAATCTCACAATAATATTGGCTTTCCTGCAATATGCTCGTTGGCTATTAATTCACCAAATACTATTTTACTTTCAGTTAGTCTGGATATGTCACTAGCATCCACCACATAAATAAGACCATGAATCTAGAAGAAAATGCATTCAAAGGCTCATGAAGATTCTGTCAGTGATGAAGAGAGAACCTGCGAGGAAGGAAAAGAGCATTCAATTGTCATTCACTCACGTCGTGGTAGTATCTCTTCCAAATGGACCTGATCTGCGGTGCTCCACCGATGTCATAAACTCTGATTATGAAGGATTTATGCCTCAGGGACAGGACTCTGAAGCCCATCGTGGGCATGACATTGGGATCAAACTCTGGAAAATTGAGTCAATGAACTTGTGCTGACATTTTCACAGAAAAATAATCTTTATAGATAATTTATTCATATAAGATTGTGGACGATACGGTCCGTATAAAATGGATAAATAGATAGATAGACTTTATTTACTGTAAGTTTTGTCTTACAAAATGACACCGTAAGGAGTCAATAGAATATAGTGGTAATAATAGCTGTACAACAAAAATAATTAATAATAGTTAACAAGTAACATGAGTAGGTACTGTGAGTGGAAAATAAAAATGATGCAACTAAAACTAAACCAGAGATCTGAGAGCTTAACAATAGCCAAAAACAGAATAACAATAGTTAACCTGTACACTGAGAAAAAAAATTACTTTTGCCAAGGAATCATTTTCTTGGGAGAAGAATTTATTTTTTACGGAGCGTATTTCTCCAGGCCGGTCATTGTCAAGGAGTCCAAGTCCATCTCTAAATATTACAATTATGTTCAATTATGGAATGATTATATTACATATGACCTTGGATCAACTCCATTGACAATTATTAACCTTTAAAATTATTTCAAATTATTATACGTTAGAAAACCTCGAATTTGAAAAAATTGAAAAATAATGAAGCGTGTTCATTCAAGGTCATATGTAGCATAATTATCTCATTATTCAACATAATTGTAATATTTAGAGATGGACATGGACCACCTGGGAATGACTGGTCTAGAGAAATAAGCTCCTAAAAAAATAAATTCTTCTCCCAAGAAAATGATTCCTCGGCAAAAGTAATTTTTTTTCCCAGTGTATGGTTAACCGACATAGCTGAATGCAGACTGAGAAGGTAACAGTGCAAGTGCAGTTAAAGGCAGAGAGGGGCGGGCTCTCAATAGTAGGAAGGAATGAGTGAAAGTCAATGAAAGATTTAATGAGAGAGAAAATGAATGAAAGGGAAAGATGGCCCAATGACGTGAAATCAATATCGATGGATATGCAGCTCATTACAGCGCAGAAGATCCATCAGAGCAGCCTTGAATGCTGCTAGTGAATTCAGATCACTTATAGTGGAAGGAATCGAGTTCCACATGGAGAGACGGTTGTTTACAAAGAATTAATAGCGAGTTAACTTAGATACAATAACTAGGATGCGCACAATAATCTTTGATAATCTGAGGTGACTTGTTTTGCGGGTGTAAGTACAGGTTTAATCGCACGCTGGGGAGAACTTCAAAACAGCGATTTACTGAAGAAAATGAGTAAAACATTATTCAAGAGCAAGAGCTCGGTGAATAAAGCTGTGTACATTTTTGATATCATTATTGTGAGACAATATTTCGAGCCAGAAATTAATAGTAGTGAATTCGCATCTAAATACGGGAGGGTGGGGTAAAATGGACACTTTAGACTTTTCTTCAATTTTTCATAACTCAGAAACAAATTGATCAATTGAGCTCAGTTTAGGCTCGTCACAGAGGGAAAGAATAGTTCTTTGTATTGAAAAAAAAATTAAATTTTATCAACATTTCAACCCATCATTAACATTTTAAAAAAGTCAAGTGTCCGTTTTACCCCAACCTCCCTTAGATGATTTATTCACATATGATTGTGGACGATACGTTCCGTACAAAATGGAGAGGCGGTTGTTTACAAAGAATTAATAGCGAGTTAACTTAGATACAATAACTGGGATGCGCATAATAATCTTTGATAATCTGAGGTGACTTGTTTTGCGGGCGTAAGTACAGGTTTAATCGCAAGCTGGGGAGAACTTCAAAACAGCGATGTACTGAAGAAAATGAGTAAAACATTATTCAAGAGCGAGAGCTCGGTGAATAAAGCTGTGTACATTTTTGATATCATTATTGCGAGACAATATTTCGAGCCAGAAATTAATAGTAGTGAATTCGCATCTAAATACGGGAAGGTGGGGTAAAATGGACACTTTAGACTTTTCTTCAATTTTTCATAACTCAGAAACAAATTAATCAATTGAGCTCAGTTTAGGCTCGTCACAGAGGGAAAGAATAGTTCTTTGTATTGAAAAAAAAATTAAATTTTATCAACATTTCAACCCATCATTAACATTTTAAAAAAGTCAAGTGTCCGTTTTACCCCAACCTCCCTTAGATAATTTATTCATATATGATTGTGGACGATACGTTCCGTACAAAATGGAGAGGCGGTTGTTTACAATGAATTAATAGCGAGTTAACTTAGATACAATAACTGGGATGCGCATAATAATCTTTGATAATCTGAGGTGACTTGTTTTGCGGGTGTAAGTACAGGTTTAATCGCACGCTGGGGAGAACTTCAAAACAGCGATGTACTGAAGAAAATGAGTAAAACATTATTCAAGAGCGAGAGCTCGGTGAATAAAGCTGTGTACATTTTTGATATCATTATTGCGAGACAATATTTCGAGCCAGAAATTAATAGTAGTGAATTCGCATCTAAATACGGGAAGGTGGGGTAAAATGGACACTTTAGACTTTTCTTCAATTTTTCATAACTCAGAAACAAATTAATCAATTGAGCTCAGTTTAGGCTCGTCACAGAGGGAAAGAATAGTTCTTTGTATTGAAAAAAAAATTAAATTTTATCAACATTTCAACCCATCATTAACATTTTAAAAAAGTCAAGTGTCCGTTTTACCCCAACCTCCCTTAGATAATTTATTCATATATGATTGTGGACGATACGTTCCGTACAAAATGGAGAGGCGGTTGTTTACAATGAATTAATAGCGAGTTAACTTAGATACAATAACTGGGATGCGCATAATAATCTTTGATAATCTGAGGTGACTTGTTTTGCGGGTGTAAGTACAGGTTTAATCGCACGCTGGGGAGAACTTCAAAACAGCGATGTACTGAAGAAAATGAGTAAAACATTATTCAAGAGCGAGAGCTCGGTGAATAAAGCTGTGTACATTTTTGATATCATTATTGCGAGACAATATTTCGAGCCAGAAATTAATAGTAGTGAATTCGCATCTAAATACGGGAAGGTGGGGTAAAATGGACACTTTAGACTTTTCTTCAATTTTTCATAACTCAGAAACAAATTAATCAATTGAGCTCAGTTTAGGCTCGTCACAGAGGGAAAGAATAGTTCTTTGTATTGAAAAAAAAATTAAATTTTATCAACATTTCAACCCATCATTAACATTTTAAAAAAGTCAAGTGTCCGTTTTACCCCAACCTCCCTTAGATAATTTATTCATATATGATTGTGGACGATACGTTCCGTACAAAATGGAGAGGCGGTTGTTTACAATGAATTAATAGCGAGTTAACTTAGATACAATAACTGGGATGCGCATAATAATCTTTGATAATCTGAGGTGACTTGTTTTGCGGGTGTAAGTACAGGTTTAATCGCACGCTGGGGAGAACTTCAAAACAGCGATGTACTGAAGAAAATGAGTAAAACATTATTCAAGAGCGAGAGCTCGGTGAATAAAGCTGTGTACATTTTTGATATCATTATTGTGAGACAATATTTCGAGCCAGAAATTAATAGTAGTGAATTCGCATCCAGATGCAGACCAACGTATATGATCGAGCGCCGGACAAACAGATAGAAAATGAATAATGTCATTAGGTTCACCACAATTACATTTAAAAATAATCTTTATTTACCGTTATTCAGGCGATTCAGGACTGTTGTTTTGCCCGCATTGTCCAGTCCACTCATCATCAGTACAATACTCCTAGGAAAGGGAAACAATTCAAATGATCGAGTTTTTAGCGATTTAATTGGGATTTTACTTTCTGTTGCTGCCTCGGCGTGTGAATTTATTCATCAAAAATCTCAGACAATTTCCCATTTTCACACTTCACTTTTTTCTTCGCACTACATCACTGCGGGCTCATGTTTGTAAGCAATCGCCCGCCATGTTGTACACAAATGTGTGACAAACGAAAAGTGACGTTTGACGGTCGATAGCACGATATTATCGACTGGGGATAACTTACTCGAGGAATTTTAAGCTTGCGGGGAGGTTCATGGTGGGGAGCAGGGGTGGCAGCACGAGGCTCGTTAATCGCTCGTGGAAAGTTTGGAATTGAGAAAAAAATTGTAGGCAAATTTTGAGAATAATGGAGTGTTAGGAATTTTTTTTGAATTTAGGTGATAGATGCAGTTGAATTTGTTTTCTTCCATTTTTTTTTCTATTTAAGCATTAGAGACTTCAATACGAAGTCTATTAACTGTGAGATACTCATCTTGATCTAAAGATTTTAAATTTTTTTTTGTTAATTCTTTTCAGTAAAATATAATAATATTTTTTAATATTATTTGCCGTTAGAAGAACGGTAGCGATATACAGTAGTATACATATATATCCGTAATAGTAATAATAATAGTAATAATAATAATAATAATAATAATAATAATAATAATGAAATGTAATAATTATAAAACTGAAAAATCAATTATTTGAAATAATAATAATTCTTTTCACTAAATATAATAAGTTTTTTTTCTCTGGTGCAAAACTCTGGAACTCTTTGCCATTAACAATTAGAGAAATGCCTACAGGGATTACTATTCACTCGTTTAGCACGGCCTTGTTTGAATTTTTATTAAATGAACAGAGGAAAGTGATTTTATGCGCTTGATTCAAGACTGGCGAAGCTGTTTTTCTAGTCTAAACGTGGTCGAATAGTGTGCCTAAATGACTTGTATTTTTAACTTAATTGTAATTTTTCTCTATCTTTCAATTGTCTTGCCTTATGAGATTGTTAATGAAAATGATAATGATAATTGCGATGAAGATATGTGATGACAGCTATGGAACTGTTATATGTCTTAAAATAAAGAAAAAAAAAGAATGAAACTAATACTGTAAATAACAAATATAAATAATATACTGCAAAAATAATGACAATAAAAATAATAAATAATTAAATTTAAAACAAACAGAATAATAAACGAAAGCAAGATTGTAATAATGTAAGTAATTCATAAGATTCATTTGCAATAATTGTGTTTTATTTTCCCGCGGGGAAATGATAAATTGCTTCTAGTCTAATTTAATCTATTATAAATGGTATTTGCAAGGTATATACTTACATTTTTTTAAAATTTATAATTATAAATATATAAGTTGCAAATTCTTAGGGCTAATTATATTTTTAGTTCATATTCTTCAAGGAACTTATCAATGCATTTGAATTCGCGATGTTGTGAGTTCGAATTCAATTCTAATTAATTAGTTTCAATAATTTTCATTGTCGTGTGCCTTTGAAAACTATAATTTCATTGAATATTCAAAGAATTAATTAATTTAAACAATAATAATAAATAACTAAATTAAACTGATTCATCAATAACCGAATAGAAAACTTCACGTAAATTTCAGGATTTTTTATTCAAAATTTCCGAGTAATTTTCTAACAGTGTGAGATATTTAATTATTCACGATCCTTCAAATATCCTATACGGGGCATAACGGGTTGACATATTATCTGACCTTTAGGCTCTCGTGCTATTACTTCCGATAATTCCAGGCAAATTGTCTTCCCGCTCAGCGAATAAAATCAATTAGAGTTGAAGCAAAACGCTTGTTAAGTTTTATTTACCTTTGAAACTTTAATTTTAGTTCTAGACATTTTAATGCATTCTAGTGTAATCCCACCGGACCAGCAAGCCAACAGGGT